ACCCTATGTTCAGTTAATTCAACATGAGTGTTCATCTCTCAAAATAATTTTGTGACGGTCAAGGAAACGACGAGGCTTTCGGAGTAGAAACCACCCTCATGTCTTCGTGTTTGTAGTCACCAATTTGTTCTTTGCTGAGGACTTTTCTTTGCATTCCTTTTCTTTGCAATTTTTATTTTCCCTAACTTTTGCCTGAACTAATTCTTTTGAATTGATAGTCCAGCGGGATGCCTTAATTTTGCCTAAGTCACACGTTTTCATGTTTTTTGACTTAGCAGGCTTTTTCTTTTTCTCGATTTTTGACTTTTTGAACAAAATGTGTGACATTAGCTTGTATTTGCTTGTTGAGAAGATTGTGATTGCCTCGTTTCTTGATGAATGAGGGTTAACATTGTGGTTCCACATCCTCTAGATTCATTATACATGAAGGATAGCCCTCGTAGTTTCTCTTCAAAAAACATCTTCCTTATGAATTTTGAACACTCAGTCAGATTAACTAAAAACTACCCTGCCCCAGGTTAAAATTCAAGGTTTTTTTTTTCGTATAGAAAAGAAACTTCTGCTTCAAAGGCTCAAAAGGGGTTAGCAAGGGATTATCTTCCTTATATCTCCGGTGTTTAGGGATTTGAAACAATGCCTGTACATCATCAGCAAGATTTTATCCAAAAGCATGCAACCAGAGATTTTGTGCTCTTTAGATCATCATCCTCCCTTCAATCTCTGTCTAGGCAAGAGAATGAGCAACAATTTGGTATCATAGTGCAAAAGCAATTTAAAATTTGAAAACAAATATGAGTGAAATGAATGAATTTCTTCAAGACAAACATACTCATTGTATTAAGATAATCATTCAGATGCAAACAAGTTCTTACATGCAAACAATGTTTTGATAAACAAGAAAAATTACAAAAAGCAGAAATAAGTTAATAATCTGGGAAGGCTTTCCATCTGGACTTGAATTACCGAAAACATCCTTCAAAAATAAAAGTCACCATCAATCGTGTTTACTCTTCGGCGCATGTTTGATTTGAACTTCAAAACCAACGTCCTTGAATGACAAGATACCACTTCTGACCAACTTCTGAACCTCAATCTTCAAAGCAAAGCAACCCTCCAAGTCACGCCCAAGAGCACCTTGATGAAAAGTACAAGCCAAATCAGCTTTGTAGTACCAATGTATCTTCTCATGAACCTTCGGTGGAGGTCGGGTCTGAACCAAATTCCTCTGCATCAGGATAGGGAACGACTCTGTATAGGTAATTGGAATTGGATCAAACTGGGTTTTCCTTTGATTAGGAACTTGTTGATTCTGTTGATAAATGGGAGAAACATGATGATTCTGATGATGATTATTTCTTCCTCTGGTTCTCTTCTTGGAAAAGTTGTTATCAAACTTCTTCACACCATTAGCTGATCTACCATCTTCATATGAACATCCCTTTCAGACATCTTCTTCTATACGCGCTCCCACATTCACCTTGTCAGGAAAGTCACTAGGCGCATTAATTATCATCTTCTCATGAATGAATGATTTCAGAGTTTCAGTGAAGACTTTTATCATCGCTTCTTTCCTCCTAGAAGAATTGACTTGGCAGCAACCAAGATTTCGACCAAACCAGTTAAGTGCTCCACACTAGCTTTCAAAATAGCCATTTCTCTACGGAGTTCAGAAACCTCTTGCTTAATATTCTCCATTGTTCTCTTAGCGTGAGTGTTGTACTGGTGAGACCAAAGGAAAAATAAGACTTGGAAAAAGACCTTTGACAGTGAAACAAAAAAATGTAGAATGATGTATGATATGCAAAAGAGAGTTTTTATTTGATTTTCAAGGAACTCAAGATATTAAGTTGTAAACATCAAAGTATGAAGATAGAAGATGAATTTTAAATTGGCTCCAAACATTGATCAAGTTATCATCAAGATCAATCATCCATTTTGGTGGATTAGGGTTTTCGCCCTATCAACACCCAAGATCCATTGAGCTTGACGAAACTTGTGATGTTTACAAAGAAAGACCTCCAAATTCCTTCAAAGTCAAGTGAAAAGGGTTTTATGGATGCATGAATGCATGGCTATGCAACAACCACAAGCAAGGTCACAAATAAAGTCGAAAGGTTCAACATCACGAGCATGGAGTCAAGGTAAGGAACACCCCCAAGGTATGTACTAACGGTTTAATCACACCTGTAGAACAAGGTTCTAAGAGTTCCCGGAGTCTACATTCCTCCTTCGGATATTACCAACGTCTTGATTACTCAATAATCAGCAATATTCTCAAGAGAAACTCATCCGAGCGTAGCATCGCGTAACAATTACTTCCGGATTACTCCGTTATAATCTCCGCGCTACACCTAAAAGGCCAAGATGGGTTAGGGTTCTACGGTTCCCAGCTTCTCTGGCTCCCAGGTCGAAAATAATAATGTCTTCCCGATTACTCGGTAAACAAATATTACGTTCAAAAGGGCCTTCCACTGAGTGGGGGATCTCATGCCTCCTTCTTCGGGATTACTCCCTCAAAGTTAGCATGACTATACCGCCCGTCCTATTCCTAAGTGTAACTTAGTCCGGGTATAGGACTTGTCCTTTGTAAATATTATCAACACCCAAATAATCATAATATATACATATAATCAAACAATCAAATAATGATAAAACAGATAAAACAAATTAGGCTTAACCCACTTAGGGATGGACCAGCAAGAGGTCAATCTTTCCCCAATAGAGTCGCCAATTCTGTAGCGGTGAAAATCGGAGATCAAGCTATTAATTAACTTGACTCGCAAAAGCAAGAGTCGCCACCGCGCTTTATTATTTCCAAGGGAAAAGGGAAAAGAGCGAAATAAAACCCTAAAATATGCAATGTAAAATAATACTTAAAAGTAATTAAAATACAATGCGTTTTTTGAAAGAGATCGAGAGTTCGGGGGTTGGTTATACAATGGGAAGGTATTAGCACCCAATGCATCTGCGGTACTCCGCAGGAACCTTTTGAAATATCTGTTTTTTGGTTTAAAATTGTTTGTTTGATTAAAATGGTTTGTTTGGTCAAAATGGGTATGGACGAGATGATGATCTAGTGTCGAAGTTTTGACTTAAAAGGTGTGAGTTTAAAAATTGAATCTTTTGGGAAAATTATCTCAGGTTTAACAAAACAGTAAACAAACAAAAGATGAATGAGGGTATTCGCACGATTGGATGAGATGTGTTTGATGACGTGAAGTCAACAAATTTAAATCTTTCCCTTGGAGTAAATCGACCAAGCAAAATAAAATGAACATCAAAATATAAGCATTCGAGAATTCAAAAGAAAATAAATCTAACGAAACATGTTAATGGCCAAAAGGCACCGAAAAATTAAAATGACAGAGATATTTAAAAACAAATAAAAGAGAATGTAACAAATTATCTAAAGAACTTATCTGAACTAAATTAAAAATTTAAGAACATTTGCTAAAATAATTCTAAACTAAATTACAAGTTCTAAGGTTATAAAAATGGTTCTGAGATTATTAAATTAAATCTAAACCAAATTAAAATGTAAATTAAGTTAAAATTATAAAATTACTAAGTTAAATCTAAACTAAATAAAAATTCTAAAATTTACTAACTAAATTAAAATTAAAATTACTACAATAATTCTAACTTTAAACTAATTAGTTCTAATTAAAAAGGAATTTTTGTAATTTTATATGATTAAACTAATAAACCTAATATTAAATCTAATCAACTATATATTTTTAAATCTCCTAGATTAAATCTAAAACAAAACTTTAAAGTAAGTAGATTAAAACTAAATCAAATAAAAGAATAAAAGATAATGTTAAAACATAAAATATGGGGTGTGCTGATAGTATTGGAGGGTATATTGGTTAGTAAACAAGGGCTCAAAGATTGAAAAGCCCAAACTTTTATAACAATAACCTAACCTAAAAAATATAGTAATAACATATTAAAAAATGATAATCATTAAAAAAGGTGAAGAAGAAGTTACAGCAAGGGGATGAGCGCTGTGATCAACCAAAAACTTCCTCAGATGGCCAATCACGGCTTCCAGAGCTTTAAGGACCTTCAAGGCTTCTCCCTGCAGGTCTACAATCCTCTCTTCCGTAGTAGCAAAATATTGCACCTCATCTACTGACAGTACTCTAACAGAGGCACCAGAACTCTCCTGTATGGATTTGATTAGTGACCCTTGCTTTCCAATCAAACTGATAGCCTGTGTTGATGGCACCAATAATCGAATGGAACAAACTGTAACCCCAGCAAATCCTTTAATTTCACTGTCAATTTCAGATAATCCAGAGACGCGTTTGAATATCCTTACTGCAGCATCCATTGCAGGGGATATAGCTGCTTCTAGCTCTTCCTTCCCTGATATGAGTATAACTCGATCAAGAGTACCGAGATCGGCATCAAGAACACGAACACGAGCTTTAGTTTCTTCACAGAGCTTCTTGATGAGTTCTCCCTTACGTCCAATGATGCTACCAACCTTACCAACAGGAACTATAAGACGGAACACGCAGTCACCCGGCCAACCTGACCATCTCTTCTCCAGAGGAGTGACAACGGGTTCTGTTCCGGTTTCGGTTACCGTCTCCGGCCCCGGCTCTTGAGCCGATTCGTTGACGATTGAGGATGAGTTAACGGCGATTGCGTCGGCTTCGGTGGTGAGGGGTAAAGAAGGTTATTACTATGCGAAGCGGGATCGCGCCGGTTGTGGTAGTGACAAAGTTTTAATGGCGGAGGTGATAAGAGCGCGTGCATGTCCAATCGTTGGGAAACCGTTCATGGTGCTGAAGTTGCAGGAAACGTAAACGGGGACGAAGAAGAAATCAGCTTCGTAAGGGTCGAAAGTTCTAACATCACTTTTCAATAATGCGGTGTGAATAGCAACTTCTGAAGTAAATAAATGTGTTTTGCACCTCTCATTCATAAGCCAATCTTTGTTGTATTTTGTGGGTAGCTCGTAAATAAACACCTTTAGATTTTTCAACAACCTTAGATTGTTTTGGGTTGAAGAGGAATGAGAAACAACGTTGGATTTGGAACTTGTGTCTTGTGGGTCATTGGTGATGAGATAAGAAGTGAAGAAATAAAGGGAAAGACAAAGCCAAAGGAACCATTTGTAATATGTGAAGAAGCAACAAGTTTTGTCTTGTTGAATTCTTGTGGTGTTGTGTTTGTTCATGAGTTTCATTTTCACATTGAATTCTTTGCTCTTTAGGGAACTCTTGAGTTCCAACATTTGATTATAAGAAAATTAACAAGACAAGGATTTGAATGGGTAGTTGAGGTTGAGCTTTCGAATGTTGTTGGTGATTTGGTGTAGGAAGAAATGGAGACTAAGAAAGAATGAAGAATAGGAAGGTATGAAGAAAAAATGGGTTAGTGTTACTGTAAGTGTTGTTTTAGTGTGTGAGGAAAAATAGAATGGAAAGGAATGTGTCTTTTTGAACAGAGGAAAATGGGATGATAAAATAAATAGAGAGTTAGAGAGAATAGATGAGGAGCTACTGTAAGTTTTTTTGTTTTTTTCTGTATCAATCCACCACTTTTGCTAACAGCCAATGAGAGCATAGTATAGTGTAATCAATATATTTTCGTGACAAAAATGCCCCTGAATGAAAAAAATAAAATAAAACCTGAAAGTATAAAAAATAACTCAATTTAAACTAATTTTTTTGAATTTTTCTGAATTAAAAATAAAGACACAAAATGACCGAAAACGATAAAAAAAACGGACGAAAATTTATCCGATAAAATAAAATGAACACATTAAAATAAACTACATGTCACGAAGATTAAAGAAAAAAATATTCAAGAAGTCAAAAATCAAAAATAAAATAATAATAAAAATATCAGACTAAACAGACGTTTAAGGTTAAAAACGAGACTTCAAACTGTACCGGAAAAATAAAGCGAGCATACCGTCATGATCTACGCGAAACGCAGATTCATAAAATGATCGGTAAAAGGTGAAAACTTGAAATATTTTCTCGCTAATTTCCCGCATAGTGTTGAATCGCTTTTAACAGTCGGTCTATAAAACCAAAATATTTTTATTATTGACATATAAACAACTTGGAGCAATGCAACAAATGAGTAAATAGATAAAAATGCATGAAGCAAAATGCCGGGTATTTTACAACTGAAAGACGATGCAAACTTTGATTTAAACTGACTTTTTCTAATCAACTTAAACACGACTAATGATGCAAAATGTGATGAACGAAGATATTTACTAATGATCGTGACCAAATAACAAAATATGATATGAAAGTGCGACTAAAACATATTAGGGGCGAAATTAAGGGTGCAACGGTGTGCCTTGATGAATCAGTCTTCGAGAATCCATAATCAATCGTACTTTTGGCTTGGGAAACTCAAAACCTTAATTGAGGCGTGACACCTGATGCTCTTGATTCAGACCTGTCTCTGCACATGACACAAAAGAAAACATGAACATACACCTTTGTATGCGATTAGAAATTAGTGATACATATGCTAAAAATGTTCAAAACACTTGACAATCTTCGCATAGTCAAAGCTCGAAGGTGAGACGTTAAAACCAACCGTATTTCGTGACCTTGACTTATCTTTAAAAATGCAAAAATAAAAATGGGATCCTAGGTCACAAATTGGGGTACAACACCCACTATTAAGGAGTGGGTAGCACCGTCGTTGGAGTTATAAGGGACATTCGAAAGGGACAAATACAATCACTAAAGCAATAGTTAGAAAACTTTAGTAGTAACCCTAGAGTCCTAAGATCTTTTCGAGGCAACGTTTCCGAGGCAACATTTCCGAGGCAACATTCGAATGGGATAATTTTATCTCTTTAGACTGGAGGGCAACCACTAAAATCTCATATGCTTAATGATTGTGTACCTAAGGCAACCGAAGTGACGTAAACCCTAGGAGTGAATATGTGCACATGATTCGTTTCAGTTAATTAATCTTTTCACATTAGGTGATCTACCGTTTTAATTTTCCAGACATTCTTGCCATACAATCCTATTACCCATACATCTAGACAGTTAAAGATTGCAGAAGTTAAAAGTGCGAGGAAATAAAACCTAGCTATTACAAGGATTCGGGGAGGGGGATTAATTACATAACCAAAAATCGGGGATTTAAATAGTAAATAAAAACCCTAGATTAATTATTACAAACCATGAACAATTACAAAATAATGGACAAATAATTAACAAGCGTGCGGCGAATTAAATACGAGGACGGTTGAAAAGATAACCTAAAACTCTAGTTGAGAGCAAAAGATATTTTTTTGGTTCTTTTATTGAAGAAAATATGTAATTGCAAATTGATTAAACCTAATTTCTAATTGTTTTTAAATTATGAAAGAAATTAAATTAACCTAATTTTCTAATTAACCTAATTAATTAAAGAACCATATATTTATAAAAAAATGATCTTTAATGTATTTTAAAGGAAATCAATTAAATTATGTACAATCTAAAACCCTAATTCTAATTATTTTATATTATAAAAATAAAATTAAATTTCCCTAAGTTAATTAAACTAATTAATTCAAAAAAAATATTTATTAAGAAAAAAAAGATTCTTTTTTGTGATTTTTGATTTGTTAATTTAATAAAAATAATTTTTGTATTAATTAAAAAAAGAAAGGAAATAAAGAAATAGAAATTAAAGAAAATAATGAAAGAAATAACCAAATGGGCTTGCATGCTAGCTGAAGGGGGGTGTGAAAATCTGAATTTTGGCCCATTAAGCATCAAGCCCGGTCAACCATGTTGGATTAGGTGCAAGTGTTGACTTGAGGAGAACCAAGGACCTTTAGGGGAGAGACGTTAGACCTGGCTAGCTGGGCATCCAATGAACGGGCGTTGAGGGTGTATGATAGTAACTTGGAGGATTGACACGCTGGATCTATGAACAGAAAATAAGAAAATATGGAAAACGCTGGGACTTGGGATCAAACCCAGGTCCTCACGCCTAAATCCAATGTCACGCTGCCAGTTGAGCTATGCTTGTTAATTTTTAACATAATAAAACAAAAACATAATATAAGGAAAATAAAAGAAGCTGATTCCAAGCGCGCGAAATTTAAACAGACGAATGGTTGGCTGACACGCATTGTCTTCTTCCCTGGAACCGTCATCTTAGATTTCTGAACCTTTACCTACAGACGCAAGTCTGTTGCTAAAAACCTGTGTCATTCAAAAATTCCATACAAGCATGATAAATCAATTGTGATGGTACCAATCAACTCGTCTTAGCCTCACGAGCATCATGGTACTTGATTCATGGCCCAATTTTTCCTGTACACAAAGACCCTAAATTGCAAGCATAAACCCTAACAATGGCAACGACGTATAGAGGCTTCAAAAACGCAATTGAATAATACAGTTAGCTTTCAAAGATGATGATAATCATAAATATGACAATTAAAATGGCTAATGATGCATGAATTGGGATAATCGATTCTGGGAAAAAACGCAAACCGTGTGAGCTACAGTTGGTGTTTCTGGGTGCTTCAAGCCTTGCAACTGATCCAATTGGCTTCTGGGAAGGTCCAAGAATCGATTAGCAGCATTGGAATGGTCTGAATTGATCTCTAAATGCAAAAACGATCCAGCACTTTTTGTCAAATTTTTGGAACTTGGTTTGGTGTTTTCACGACTTCTCAACCCTTGTTCTTGATCTGCAATTGTTGTATACATATAGTAGACTGAATTTGGTCAATAAAATTGCATCATATCTTTGAGAATTATGAAAATATGATTTGATTTGATTCATGTATGGTATCTTTCTGAAACAAGCTCAATCCAATATTTTCCAACCCTAATGAGTCTTGCACGAATTGATCATCATGCTAGCTGTATATAGACTCCAAATGTGCACAAAAATCTCAAGATTTGATTTGTTTTCATTATTTTACCATTTAATTTGATTTATTTTGATTTAAATGAATAAAAAATCAAAATAAATGATAAAAATAATAAAATAAGAGGTGAATGAGCTCAGGGGTCGTGGGTCTTATTAGAAACATTTTTCAAGCAAGAAAACATTAGCCCTTTTGGAAAAAATGCCAATTTGATCAATATTGACTTTTGACAATTTTCCAAATATTGCCAACTTTGACAATGTACAACTCTCTCAATTTTTACCCTAGAGAGGTGTTCTTGGACTTTTTAGAAAGCTTAGGATGTCCCCTAAGCAACCCATTAGGTCTCATATCAATTGAGTCTTCCATGTTCATGTGTGAAGCTTTGACCCAAAAGGTTTTTTTGTTGACTTTTCAAAATGACCCATAATGTAGAAATTCATATCTTTTTGTGAGTGCATATTTTAAACTTGAAGGATGAAGATGAATTGTAGGTAATTTCATCCTCTTAAAAATGAGCCTTGGATGGAAAATTTATGATAAAGTATGAAGAAGTTATGCTTGGTCAAAGTTGGGTTGACTTTTCCTGCAAAACCCTAATTTAGCAACTTTTGGGTTTTGATGAATCGTGAGCAATCCCTGAGGAATCATGATCAACCCTTGATCAAATGATGTATAACACTTCAAAATAATGATGTTGACCAAAAATTTTGAAGTTTGATTGTATGGGGGCCACAGTTGACTTTTGACCTAATACAGTCGATTCTTAAGCATTTGAGCAGTTGACTGAGCAACCTTCTTGTGCAAGGTATGAAACTTGACATGGATGATCTTGGGAACATATTAGGACCTTGGGAAGAATTTGATTCCTTTGTGGTTTACACATCTGGATGAAAAGGGAAACCCTAATTTGAGGTATACTGCCTTAGGAGAGAGTTTGTCTAGTCAACTCTTGGACTTCCTTGAGCAACTTAGGGACCTCAATTGACATTTGTTGAGTAAAATGGGAGGGAAAATTTTGGGGTACAACAGCTGCCCCTGTTCAATCTTCTTAAACCTGAGGATGTAGATTGGCTGCTCTGCCTTTCGTGATCTGAAGGTGGAAGATGATTGAACACTAGAGTGCCCAGAAATTTGCACTCGCCTGAAGTGACACTTGATTTGTGATATCGAGAATGGGCTTACAGATGCCATTTGGAGGTCGATAATGTAAAATTGTCGGAGATGGGCTTAAAGATGCCATCTAGGAAGCGATGGAGAATTGTCAGAGATGGGCTTAAAGATGCCATCTAGAGAATGTTAATGTCCTGAGATATTCCTTTGATAAGAGCCCTTTCTCCTTCCGTTGAGGAGGAATCCACTGAGGAGTGTTGGTATCC